TTGCTGTGTCTGCAAATGAAGTGAAGGTTTATTTTATCAGTGCTTGTATTAGTGTATACTACAAGCCATGTGTTCATTAATTTCCATTTACTTCTATTATCAGGCCACTTAGATGAGTTATAAGTTAGATGGGTCTTACGGCAAATGTCTTGTAAGGAACAGTAATTATGTTCCCAGAATGCATTATAAATTACAAATTAGAAGACTTAAGTTTCCCATTTTGTAGTTGCTAGGGTCAAGCTTGATATCTTTATTTAACAGCCCATGAGTTCTCAGGAGTGGAAATGGGCCAAGCTCATTTGGAAAGTTCACCCCTAAACACTATCTGTCTGTCACTTACAATGGTGGGCATTTAAGTACTCACATACCACTAGTATTACTTGGACTGATGACTCTGGGTGATTAGAATGGGAATGAGGAAGAGATAGATGGGACTAATAAACTTCCTTTCCCCTGGGATTTTCTATGACTAGGTGCCAGACAATGTTTTGTCCAGGGTATTGGAAGGAAAGATAATAGAAACAAACACACTTTTATAACATGTTAAAAGCTTTTGAATCACTTCTTAAAAAGTATTTGTTTCTGAAAAGTATTTAGTGGGTTTTTTTTTTAGTTTGGATGGAAGGAAGATGTCTGTGTTTGGGGCAAAATGCTATCTCCCAAAGATTTCAGCTAGCTCTGTGCATGGATGAATATCTGAATGTATGAGTGAAAACGTAAAATAAATCATAAATACTCAGTGCTATCCACAGAAAAGCACAGGGGTTTAATTCATATAGAGCTTTACAGATGCCTTGCTAAATGTTTTGTAGCAGCTCACCATACTTTTAAAATGAAGACATTGTATATACTTATGATTAGTTGAACAGATTTAGTATTCTGTGTGTTTTCTCTTCATTTCCCCCCTGAAATGGTCTGGCTTCTTCTTTTTCAGTGGCTGATCTGAATATTGCAGCAAATACCCTAGTGAATCCCAGAAATGATTTTACAGAAGACTCAGTATTCTTTCACTATGGATTGGGCAGAGATTTTTTTTTTTCTTTTCATACTGTATTTACTACTTGGCTCCAGTGATTTCATGAAGTCAATATTTATCTTTGACATAGAAAAGAAGTAAATAATGTTTACTTTGCTGTTGTGAAAGCTATTTAGGTTGGGCACAGATTATACTGAGCCACTATAGAGTAGCTGCATTGGTGGGAAAGAAATCATATATTCCTGATTTGTTGGTACTAGGGTCATGGAACTCCCAAGTTCAGGTATTAGATACACATAACGATACAAACTCTCTCACACACACACGCACACCTTCCACGATCAAGGAGTTAACATAAGGAAAAAAGAACCCTCATTATTTTAACTATGGCTCTAAAATTCATTCCAACCACAAATACAGTATTGATGACATAACACTATTATACCATGAGTGTGCTGGAGCCGTTGTGGGGCTCTCAGAAGTCCCTTGTTAAAATTCTATCACCAAATTGAAGAGAAGTTGGGGGAGATTTCTTTCCTTTGGAAGTTCACCCTCTCTTTGGATTAATCCCTGCCACAGAGGACTTGGAGCTCACAAAAACACTTCTAAGAGATTTTGGAATGAAACAAATGGCAGTCCACCTATTAAAACCTACCCGTGAAGAACAACCTACTATTAGTACACGCTGCCTCACGGAGGAAATCAATCATGCTATTAAAGAACACTAATGGCCACTAAGTAGTTTCTTCCTCTTTCCTGGTAATAGTAAATAGTAAACAGCCAAAAACTGTTATAACAAACAATATGCAGTAAGTGTTCAGCGTGGAAACAGGTAGGATTATGCTACCTAATACACATTTAATTTGAATAAAACAATCTCTGACCCAGCTTTAGAGAATTAGATGGATAGGATGTAGATAGTGTGCTGGAAGACTTGCTACCATATAGATCTCAATACATCCAGGATTAATTCTGATTCTCTCTTGTGCCACTCCTCAGTCTTTCTGCTCCTTGAGTCTGCCTGCACCAGCCTCCAACATGGTTTTAGAACCCACTTCCAGAGACAGGAGAAAACAAGGGAAAGGAATGAAGAGAAGAGAGAGCATCTGAGACCCCTGTGCAGAGTAGGAAAGAAGATTTGTGTTCCTCAGTCCAAGCAGTGAAACAGCCTCCAGAAGAACTGAAAGAGAAGAGAGAGCAGCTAAGTGCTCTGAAACAGGCCAAGTAAATACCATTTCAAAGGGACAGGCAAAGAGAAAAGTAAATTCCTAAACAAGGGACCTCTGATGTGAAATGGGGCTACAGGTCCAAAACAGTAGCTGTAGCAAAGAGGTCTATATCGCACAGTAGTAGAAAGGAAGAAAATAATCTACACAGGAACAGTGAAAGATTTTTTTTTAAATGCTCTAAAATCATCAAAGCAGTATTTCAAAGGCAATGGAACTAATATTTCCCAGAATTCCTACTTTTGTGGGGTGTCAGCTTTAAGTTTACTGATAAATTAGTTTTATATGGCATCAAGACTTGTCAATAAGAGTGATGAATACCCAGTAAATATCATCTCTAATATGGGAGATGAGGCAGATGACATGCTGATGGCATCAGGCCTAATTCCAGATTAGAAGAATGTCTGTGAAATAGTGAAGAAACTGTTTGGTATATATTTCATGAAAAGACCGGAACAGCCCCCCACAGAGCAAGAAAGGAAAACGTGAAGATGTAAATTTCAATTTCATGAGGCTCAACAAAAAAGCTACTCCCATCTGATTGTTCTCCCTCTCCCACAGAGACACACAAATAAGAAAACCTGGCAGCTCTCAACAAAAAACTCTGAGGACAGGAAACAAAGGGAAAATGACATGTGGAAAATTTAGCAAGACTACCCAACATTCATGGAAAATGTGCCCAGCTTAAGGCGCTAAATGCCAGGAACATCAGAAAAAAGGACTTTATGCAGAGCCTCAAAGTAGGTGGAGGTGATAATCAGTGAAAAAAGAACCAGAAAAACCAAGAAAGATGTCCACAACAGACATGGTTACAGAGCTACCAATGTTTGGTGGTGGTAATGCTGAGAATGAAGTTGTTTCCCCTACCACTACATCCTACTGAGGAGCATCTTATTGAAGATCTAGTAGTGGATTCAGCAGCAAATTTAAGGGATCTGAAAGCTTGAAATGGCCTTGTGCTTGTGGCAAATTAAAGCAAAATTAGCTTCTTGGCTGGATGAGAATTGGAGCTGCACCAGCAAAAATTTTGGTCCCACTCTCAATTTGAAGAAATCAAGATCAGTGGAGACACTGCAGGCCTCCATTGTTTACATAGTCCAAGGGTGTTACAAGAGCTTTTGAACTCCAAATCTTATAATGGATTTGATGATGTAGAAGAGAATACTTTGCAAAGCAACAGCTTCATACATTTGTCTGTTGAAGAACCTTATTAATTTAGACATGCTTAGCTAAACTATAGTAGTCATATGCAACCTCTTCAAAATGACACACTAACTTTAATTTTCATGAAAATGGACTCCTAGATTTTCAGCAGAGATTATACCTTTCTTTTTATTTCTGAGTAATTTAAAAGAACCAGCTATTACATAGAAAACATACAAATTATGTGCCCGGATTGTAAGTATAAAATAGTAGTAATTTTTGTAATTAGGATCTATTTCAGATATTTAGAGATAGGAAGACCAAACATCAGGCAAAAACATAAGTATTATGCCTCAGTCAATCAGCATTTCAGACTTCCTTCCAGAGATTGCCACGTTGATTTGTTTCACTCCCTGCTTTCACCTCATGTGGAATCCTGGCCCTGCTGAAGACAATAGCAATATTCCTATGCCTTTAATGAGGCTGGGATTTCACCCCTCCACTCTTGAGGCTCTTTGGTATACTTCTTATGGAATTGGCTGTAGGAACTAGAATCTCTTGATTTTTTTGCTTTGCAATTCTCCCGCCCATACCAATCACAATACACTCTTATACAACTTGAGATGCCTCAGTCACTGTGTATTTCATACTTTATAAACAAAGCTGCATATTTGCTGAGATGGGATCTGATTCTGATAATGAACCAGTTTTAAAACTAGTGTAACTTCATTGACATCAGGGGAGTTTCTCCTAATTTACACCAGTGAGAGATTAATAGGATCAGGCCCAGGGATGCATGAATGTTTCAAACCTCCTACTGGTTGTCCAGCTTCATAGGAATAACATAACGATAGATTTAAAAGCAAATTATAATTTAGAGTATTAATTATCTTCAAAGAAACGATTGATTATTATGTATAGCAACCTGTTTGTTATCCTATGATCTGTCTAAGATGAAAACAAATCTCATAAATTGTTGGTAAAGACAGCTTTATAAGGAATTATTGTCGATGCCCCGGTTTGTAGTTTTCTATATTAAAGATCTGTTTTCAAATAAATTTTAGTATTTTTCTCTTTAAAAAAATATTGGCTGAAGGCTGTGCTCATAGAATTTACAATACAAGGCCTGAAATTATGCTGCTCAGATTTTTGAACGGAAAAGAACCTTTGTTTCTGTGGAGAGGGCTTTTACTTGACCTTTCTTCCATTGGCAGTGATCAGGTAGTATAGATCAGCTTTAATTTTTTTTAATTGAACCCATGGTGTTGACCCAGCTGTGGTAGAAATAGTTTTCCAGCCTCTCTAGTTCTTTTTATGGTCGTAGGAAAAAGCTTTCCAGCTTCGTCTTTGAACTGTGTTACATTCTGCATCAAATTTGGTCTGTTGGCATGTAGTGTAGTACAGACATGCCTGACGGGCAATATGGGCACAGTATATTATTGCCTTGTATATGTTTATTTTGTCATTTAAATTAAAATATTTGTGCGCCAGGAGCCTTGCATGCATCACTGATGGATAGATTCAGTTGTAATAGAAAATATGTGGGAAATTGTTGACCGTGTGTTGATTCACATCTCAGTATAAATACATTATGAACATAAAAACAATGCTTTTAATTTTTAAAGGGATGTTTTCTGTATCTCAATCTAACTCAGGGACCTTGCTGCAAGGAACTGCCTGGTAGGTGAAAATAATGTTCTGAAAATCAGTGACTTTGGAATGTCTCGTCAAGAGGATGATGGGGTATATTCATCTTCAGGCTTAAAGCAGATTCCTATCAAATGGACTGCTCCAGAGGCACTCAACTATGGTAAGGAGATATTATCCTTAACTTTTTATTGTAGAAAATGTACTATGTAAGATAAGAAGGTATAGAGGAAATACACTGTGGTCTGTACACAAATATATGGTCTTCCTTATGGTCTGTTTAGACTAACAAACATGTAAAACCTTTCAATTTAAATAAATTAACAATTCAGCCCTATTAAGGTTATGTCTTTTACTTCATAATGTAAGATTCCCCTTTCTTCACAAAAAAAACAAGAACATCCAAGGAGAAAAAGTCAAAGTACTTAAATGCTGCTGATTTAACAATTAAAATGCTTGCATAATACTGCTCTGGAGCTAGAACATTACAGTAGACTACCTAGTCATTCATCCAGATGATAATCATTAGCAAAATGAGTAGGCAAGTTCCTCAAAATTATGGTGATGATTGATTTAGCCTTTTATTATGAAAACTAGAGATACTTTTAACACCTGAGAAAACATTACATAAATCCTTGTAGAAGAGGACAGGATGGTAATTGATTATATATATTTTAAAACTTGTAGTTCTTGTAACCTGCAATTTTATGCATCATTCTGCTGTTGTCAGTGAAAATAAATAAAACAGCCCTATTTGTGGGTAGGGGGAAATGGCCCATAACATGATGGGTTATAGCTTGAGAACAAAAATAGAAAAAGCCAGATTGGAGGGAGGGGGAGAGTTAAAGTGAAATTAGAAAGTAAGCTCTAATTAGGAAAAAGGTAGTTAAAAAGCAGCATGTGAGCTGCGGCATTGATGAATGTTGTAGTATATGGGCTAGATCTACAAAGGAATTTAGGTGCATAACTGCTGCTTTAATCACCTAACTACACAATTTAGATCCTCAAAGTCCGTGCTCAGCTGCTGCCTAACCCTGTAAGTGCCTAAGTTTCTGTCCATAAAGTCCTGTAGGCGCCTAAAAATCTGCCCATGAGCATGCGTACCTATGTCCTGGTGGGACCCTCAAACTAGGCTTTCCTCTTCATCTACTGCATATCTGGCTCCCATTTCTGATGTGTGGGCACCCCACTTGGAACTTTTTCACTAATAGTGTCATGCTCGTGTCCTTTATATCCTCATGTTCCCTTCCTGGGGTCATAAAGAGCACAGCAATCCCAACTGCCATTCAGTTCCTTCAGATTTCCATAGGAAAAACAGAAGAACATTTAGTGTCCCTGTCAAGGTTCCTTCCCCACTCTGAACTCAAGGGTACAGATGTGGGGACCTGCATGAAAAAAACCCTAAGCTTATTTTTACCAGCTTAGGTTAAAACTTCCCCAAGGTACAAACTATTTTACCTTTTGCACTTGGACTTCATTGCTGCCACCACCAAGCGTCTAACAAATATATAACCAGGAAAGAGCCCACTTGGAAATGTCTTCCCCCCCAAAATCCTCCCAAACCCTACACCCCCTTTCCTGGGGAAGGCTTGATAAAAAAACCTCATCAATTTGCATAGGTGAACACAGACCCAAACCCTTGGATCTTAAGAACAATGAAAAAGCAATCAGGTTCTTAAAAGAAGAATTTTAATTGAAGAAAAAGTAAAAGAATCACCTCTGTAAAATCAGGATGGTAAATAGCTTACAGGGTAATCAGATTCAAAACATAGAGAATCCCTCTAGGCAAAACCTTAAGTTACAAAAAGACACAGAAACAGGAATATACATTCCATTCAGCACAACTTATTTTATGGGCCATTTAAGCAAAACAAAAGGAGTACTTGTGGCACCTTAGAGACTAAACAATTTATTTGAGCATAAGCTTTCGTGAGCTACAGCTCACTTCATCGGATGCATAAAGTGGAAAATGCAGTGAGGATATTTTTATACACACAGACCATGGAAAAAATGGGTGTTTATCACTACAAAAGGTTTTCTCTCTCCCCACCCCACTCTCCTGCTGGTAATAGCTTATCTAAAGTGATCCCTCTCCTTACAATGTGTAAGATAATCAAGATGGGCCATTTCCAGCACAAATCCAGGGTTTAACAAGAACGTCTGAGGAACAGTGGGGGGCGGGGGTGGTGGAAGGAATAAACAAGGGGAAATAGGTTACTTTTTATAATGACTCAACCACTCCCAGTCTCTATTCAAGCCTAAGTTAATTGTATCTAATTTGCAAATTAAACAAAACAGAATCTAACTCATATCTAGCTAGATTACTTACTAAGTTCTAAGACTCTTTTCTGTTCCTGGCAAAAGCCTCACACAGAGACAGAGAGAACCTTTGTTTCTCCCCGCCTCCAGCTTTGAAAGTATCTTGTCTCCTCATTGGTCATTTTGGTCAGGTGCCAGCACGGTTATCCTATCTTTTTAACCCTTTACAGGTGAAAGGGTTTTTCCTCTGGCCAGGAGGGATTTTAAAGGTGTTTACCCTTCCCTTTATATTTATGACAGTCTCTTTTGTAGTTTCTTGTTAGTTACTGTTACCTCCAGTAAAACACACATGTATGAAGAGAGTTTCAGTTTAACTTTATTTTTCTGTTTGTAGTTTGTATATTGAGATTTTAGTTAGGATATGGCAGAATTGAGATCCCCAGACTTCAAATTATAACCCTGTTGTGGAGGGTGGGGGAACAGGCTGTTCCTCTAATGGACATACATAATTAGTGAGACAAGATGGGTGAGATAATATCTTCTATCTTCTGTTGGTGAGAAACATGCTTTTGTAAGAACGGCCATACTGTGTCAGACAAAGGTCCATCTAGTCTAGTATCCTGTCTTCCAACAGTGGTCAATGCCAGGTGCTTCAGAGGGAATGAACAGAACAGGTAATCATCAAGTGATCCATCCCCTGTCATCCATTCCTAGCTTCTGGCAAACAGGCTAGGGACACCATCCCTCCTCATCCTATCTAATAGCCATTGATGGATCTATCCTCCATGAATTTATGGAGTTCCTTTTTGAACCCTGTTATAGTGTTGGCCTTCACAACATCCTCTGGCAGAGTTCCACAGGTTGACTGTGCGTTGGGTGAAGAAATATTTCCTTTTGTTTGTTTTAAAGCTACTGCCTATTAATTTCATTTGGTGATCCCTAGTTCTTGTGTTATCAGAAGGAATAAATAACACTTACTTACTTTCTCCATACCAATTATAAATCTCTATCCTATCCCCCCGAGTCGTCTCTTTTCCAGGCTGAAAAGTCCCGGTCTTATTGATCTCTCCTCATATGAAGCTCTTTCATACCCCTAATCATTTTTGTTGCCCTTTTCTGAACCTTTTCCAATTCCACTATATCTTTTTTGAGATGGGGCGGCCACATCCGGACACAATATTCAAAATGTGAGCATACCATGGATTTATATAGGGGCAATAGGATATTTTCTGTCTTGTTATCGATCAATAAGACCAGGAATAGAAGAGCTCTGTGTAGCTGGAAAGTTTGTCTCTCTCTCCAACAGAATTTGGTCCAATAAAAGATATTACCTCCTCTCTTTAATATCCTGGGACTGACAGGCTTACAATTACACTTTATGCGTAATTAGTATCTTTATTGCCTGGGTGAAGAGCATATTGTTGCTCAGTGTACAATCTGTAACTCTTTTAAGAAGCGCACATAGAAAGAGAAAAAGTCCAGGTTAAAGCTCTTTCTCTTGGAAAAGACATGAGAACACTCTTGGAGTCTGAGAAGAAAAATGCTCAGGAAAGTTCTTCAATGCTCCAGTCACCAGGGATGTGACTTTGATCTCAAGAGATAAGGAGGCTCTAAAGAGGCTTTGCCTGTGCTTTCAGAGCAGTCAGATATCCCTCCTGTCCGAAAAGTGAGAGACTCTAAATCCATTATTTGGCACCATGCTCTATTTCCATTGCTTGATGGGAGAAAGTCTCCTTTAAAGGACTTGATGAAGTGGGTACCAGAGAAGCCAGTGCTGGAGCTCACATTGACAGAGGACACTGGCAGCAGAGGGTGTGTGGATCAAGGTCTTAAGACTGTTGTTCAGGACTTTCCGGCACTATCCCTCTTGGTACTGGTGTATCAGTTGTGATCTGCCCCAGCACCATCTTTGATGAGAGCATCTCACTTGTTTCCAGCAGTTTCAGTTTCTTTGGAGCCTTCAAAGCAGCTATATGAGACAAGCTACCTCCACTCTCTATGTCTTCTGAAGGGGATTCCACAGCATCAAATGATTCATTTATATTTTCCATGGATATCAGAATAACTCCGGAGCCTGGGTCACCACTGTTACAGGCATTTCTAGTTCTTCACTGTCTAAATCTCATCCTCACAAAGAATGAAGCGTGCCTGTGTTGAAGGTTTCTCTTTATCAACATAACAGGGTTGAGAATAGAAGCGCTATTCAAATTTTTAAATCTCCTGTTGTTGTCCCATCGGTAGAAGGATTCTGTCTTCTGACTCCAGCAGGAACCCTCCTTCTAAAAGAGCCAGTCTGCAGACAAAGAGACAATACAAAGGAAACCTCATAAATTTAAAGATTTAAATCCTAATTACTTTCCATTGTATCCCCTGCATTGATCCCCTGCATTGCCTCATGGTCACAATATCTGCAGCATTCAAGGCAAGTTACCCCCACAGTACATGGGATATACACATAAATCACCTAATTCAGGTTCTCAGGCGTGTTGCATCATTCTCCTCTTCAGATTATGGAAACAGGATCAGCATAATTCTAGTGATGAAGAGATTCCTGGACCTCCACATTGTTGCTGTTCTTCACTTTTGGAGCTTATTTCATCCACTGTGCCTGCAGCAATTGATGATTTTAAAAGCCTTTCAGGAATTATTGAAGCACACGGCAGAAACATTGGCAGTCCCTTTAGAAATGGTATAGGAAAAGGCATAGAAATTATTTGATATTTTACAATCTCAAGGTAGAGTAGCTCTTACTATAAATAAAGGAGTTTTAGAAATGGCAGAAGATCTTTCAGCTACCCCTGCTCAGCTTCAGCAAGTTTAAAAGTTGCTGATTGTAGATATCCAGTACTGTCCAAAGGCTCTGTGTATTTGTATACTTACCCATCTTCATCTTCACTGGTTATTACTGTTGCAAATGAAAAATTGAAACAATTGGGAAAGTCAACTACCAAAGAAAGACGAGACACTTTCAGAAGGAAAACTTATTCTTCAGTTTGACTTCAAGTTAGGGTAGTTAATTGTCAAGTTAAGATAACTAAATATGATTATCTACAATGGGAGAGTGTGTCTGACTTTAAGGACAAACTACCTACAGAAATTAGAAATGAGTTCAGATCAATTTGCCAAGAACGTCTGCTGAGTGCTAACATTTCTTTTCAAGCTGCTCTGGACGCAGCTGATAGTGGTGTCAGTTCAATAGCTACAGCTATTATTATGAGACATATGTCATGATTGTCTGCATGTCTTAACTTAGTTTGCCCTTCCTCCCTCCCTCTGGTTCCCACCTGTGCTTTTTTGACGAGGCATGGATGGCAATCACCACAGATCAATGGGTCATTCAGGTTGTCATTCAATTTCAGTCTCTGTCTCCCACCCATACCCCTTCGCAGTTCCTTTTCAGGAACCATTCTCATGAGAATGCTATACATCAAGAAATAGATGACCTAATCAATCTAGTAGCAATATAACTGGTACATCAAGAATTTGTGGGGCTTCTATGTCATTCCAAAACTAAAAAAGAGGTTGGCATCTGATTCTACCACTCAAGAATCTAAACAAATACATTTGGTGCATCAGGTTTTTGTATGTTACACACACTTCAATTATTCCCACTCTAGATCCCATGGATTTGTTCATTACCCTTGACTTGCAGGACACTTATTTTCACGTGTCAATGCACCCTGCACGGAAGAAGTCTCTTTGATTTGTAGCTTTAGGAAACCATTGTCAATTCCAAGTACTATCCTTTGGAGTTTCTTTGGCTTCGCAGGTGTTCAAGTGCCTGTCTGTAGTAGCAGCTCATCTACACAGACAAGGATTGCATGTTTACCCTTATCTAGACTATTGGCTTGTACGAAGAAAATCATGGGACTATATCAGCAAAGAAGGTGCTTCTGCTGTTTTCATCCCTAGGTTTGAGAATCAAATTGAAAAAATCAAATCTGATTCCATCCCAGTTGATATAATTTATTGGGGATTAACTAGATACAGTAGCAGCAAGTGCATTCCTTCCATCAGACAGATTTCAGACAAGACGGCAACTGATTCTCCACCTTCACAATTGCCCTCAGAAAACAGTAAAGATGTGTCTCAAACTGCTAGGCCATAGGGCATCATGTACTTTTGTGACTTCATTTCCCAGTCTATGATTCAGACTCTTCCAAGCTTAGATCAAGTCAATCTACAAACTGAAAATTTATGACATGTCACAGAGGGTGACTATTCCAAATCAAAATTGAAACTCTTGGAAAAAATGGACTACCGTTTGCTGCTCCAATACAGCTCACAACTCTAATATCAGGTGCATCCAAGAGCAGTTATGGAGCACATATAGATCAGGGTCAGACTCAGCCTGTAGTCTTATAGGATTCCAAGTTACACATGTGTGCTAGAACTGAGATTGGTACAACTAGCTTGGAAGGCATTTCTACCACTGATCAAAGCTTCTTCCTTCCAAATTCTTATGGACAACTCTTGAATAACATGTCTGTAAACCAGTTTTATGTTTAATATTTTAAGTGAAAAATTAAACTATTAAATCTTACAACTGAGCTTTATGTAAACATTTCTCCTGTTACATTTTTTGATAAAGAAAATGTATTGGAAGCTCTCATTCTTTGATTATACTACAGTCCCCATAAGTGAAATTCACTCCTTTGAGAGGGGTTTTTGCATCACTATTAAATGCTGCATAAACCCACACAATAGGATTTAAATAAGTCTTGTGGGCCTTGTAAAGGGGTGAATTTTACATTGTGAGAATAAAAGCTTTCCCTCTGGAAAATCTGTAATATTTGCTGCTAGAGTGAATCCACCACTGGTCAGTATCTATTCTAACGTTTAGCTTGCAGTATTGTTTGTGCTTTATTTGTTCATTCAGATCTGGAAAGTTTGGTCTTTTTATTATTTCAATAAGTGTTTACAGTTAAGTAGATAATAAAATATAAAATCATTGCTACACTAGCTGAAAAAAAGCTGGCAGCCTGGGGAACAGGAACATAACCTTCAACTGACTAACAAGAAATAGTTTTTTAAAAATGAAGTGACCGTGGTTAGGCATGTTAGGGGGCTTATTCCTTCACCCACTTACTTCCCTGGTCCTTCTCGCATGAACAGAGAGCAACAATACCCGAAGTCCAAAGGTGCAAACAATTCGATGTTTATTGGGGTGAACTTCCAGCAAGCATGATTCCAGTTTCCTTCCTTAGTATCCTCCTTCCCAGCTCTGACACCACAGAGCCTTACACGTGTGTCCCTGTTCCCATTCCTACCCTTAGCCAAACATGATTCCAACTTCCTTACTCCCATTCCCTGTTCCCATTTCCCCCTTTAGCAAAACATGATTCCAATTTTCTTACCCCCATTCCCTGTTCCCATCTCCCCCTTTAGCAAAACATGATTCCAATTTTCTTACCCCCATTCCCTGTTCCCATCTCACACACCCACATGCCCACCCCCACCCACACCCAGTCACTTCCTCATTGAGTACAGATTATATAGTAAAACTTGAGTTCTGCTTAGCTATACCTTAACCAATCATTTTCCTGAAATTTAACTAACCAATCCAAACATATTGTAACATGATTATGTAACCAATTATATCCCACCACCTCAATTAGTTTACACCCAGCAAAATTAATTATACAGCAGACAGGAACAATCACAGAACCAGACAGAGATTATACAGACAAACAACAGCAAAGTGGGAACTATAATGACAAAACAATACAGAAGTGAGGATTTCACATCCCAGCTATTGATAAGTGAGTTCTTGCCAGACAGGATGCTATCAAACTAAGTTTCCTTTTACATTTTCTAGGCACTTCCCTTTCTCTGGAGGTGATAGGAATACAATCCTGTCCTGATAGTGCCTAACAGCCCAATAGCACCTTATTTCAATGTGACTAGTTTGGAATGTGAGGATGTGACCGTTCGCTTCCCAGCTTATGGCTGCCTCTGCTGCTTAGCCAAAGGCCTGAGCCTAAGCACAGGCCACAAACTGTCACAGTAAGAGAAGGCCCTTACACTGGCAGACAGTGGTTTTGATTCTTTCTTTTATACCTCTATCACTAGCCAAGTGATAAGAATACACCTAAATTCTTAGAGTATAGGCCTTTGCAGACAGGCCTGAATATCTATATCCTAACAAGGCACAGTAAAAATTACTGCAATGACTCTTTTTTCTGGTAAAACATTGCTAGGGAAAATCAGGGATTGGGTGAGGAAATGATTAACAAGACTTTGTTTCATTGAATTTACAAGATATGAATGAATTATGGCCTGAGGTGCTAAGCAACAACAGGTTTTGCTGGATGCTGTTGCAGTTGTGAACTTAACACCTCTGAATACCAGTCCATCAGTGGATAGGGCAATGACTTGGCTTTTAGCAACATTGGCTTTTGGCAAAAACTCTAGCAATGTTATTCATTTTCATCTATCAAAGTGCTTGCTCCACAGCCCAACTCAGCACAATTCCACCGCATCCCTGAGCTGTAGAGGTGCTTCTGCGGGCCTGGGGGAAGGGAGAGGCATTCCTCGTTGCAAGAGTATGTGAGGAAGTTTCCTCACTTCCTGATTGGGTTTTTTCCCCACATTGTTCAAATGCACGTTTACAAAGGTGTGGTTTATCATTTGCCATTCATATGAAAATTCCTGTACGATACTTGTGCTCGTACTAAAAGCTATTACACACGTGTTCTTAAAAAGTAAAATGTGTATATTTGTTTGTGATCTTCCACTATAATTTCTTCAGTTCTTCGAATGCTAATAAATAATCGTGTATATATAAACAGCATGCCTTTTCTCAGCCCAGCTATTATCATACTGAGATAGGTAATTGACTCTGCATAACTTGTGCTTTCTTAAGAAACTAATTACTTTTAACTTGTTTCCACTGAATGACTTTAATGAAAAGTGTTAAATTACTGGATGCCAAACTCTGAAGAGAGTTGATATACAGACAAGAAAACTAATCTTACCCCCAGCAGCACGGTGAATGTCCATAATTGCTATCTTCTAAGCAGGCAAGCTAATTTAACACAGCTGGAAATGAAATTTAGTTTAAGTGCAAACTGAACTTTCTGACGTCAGATGGCCCCAACTGTCATTATCATTTACATGTACTTCATTTAGGCTGGGAAAAAAGAAAGGGGGAAAAAAACATATCCTAGGTTTAAAATGATTAGCTGAATATTTAGCACTCAAACATCAGCAGCATGATACTGGCAAAATGGCAGTGTTGGAAATGGGGCAGAAGATACATAAAGGAGAAATGTTTTATTTTAAAGCTCAGAGATAACTGATGCAAAGATGTGTTAAATGGATTTTCTCGTTCCTGTAGGCCTCTGTAGTAACGTTCTTAATACTAAAAGGACAGGTCTGCTTGTGAAAGGACAGAATCAAATGTACTGTTTAAGATGATATTTTCAGAGCCCCTACGTTTCACTTCACTTCACTGAACTGGCTTCTTAGGCGCAGAAGCTGGCAGGCGTGATTCCCAGCTTGGGTAGACATACATACTAGTTCTGCTTGAGCTACCATGCTAAAAATAGAAGTGTGGCTACAGCAGCTTGGGCTAGCTGCCCAAGTGCATACTTAGGACAGTGTTGTACTCAGGCAACGTCTATATTACTAAAGCCACACTGCTATTTTTAGCATGCTAACTTGAGCAGCGCTAGCATGTATGTGTCTACCTGAGCTGGGAATCACACCTCCACCTACTATGTAGACATACCCTTAGAAAGGAGGTTCAAACCTGGAGAATAGAGTTATACCCTATGTCCACTGTGGTGAGCTACTGTCTTTAAGGGTAAAATTCACAAGGGGACTATAGGTATTGCAACACCGAGTGTTGCGGAACCCTGCTGCCCTGTGGAATTCACAGCCCTGAGGTAGGTGCCAGGCTCCCCCTGCATTGTATAGGGAGAGTTAGGTGCCTAAGAAAGATTTTCAGAAGTCAGCAAGCTGAATGGGGAGCCACCTAAGCTAGTCAGGAATGAAATGCAGGGAGGCATAGGGCCCAGATCCTCAAAGGTGTACGGAGGTGCCTAACTCCCCTTTGATCTGGGCCTTAGGCGCCAGACTGACAGGCTGGAGTGAGGCACGTGTCTCACTGGTGAACCCTCTCCTGGAGTTAGGCCTGAAGCCAAGTCAGCCCTTTCTCACAAAGAAAGTAAGCCCTGCCTCCCTGTATCCTATAACTCAGGGGTTAGGGCACTCATCTGGGAAGAGGGAGACTTGATTTCAAATCCCTGCTCCAAAATCAGGCAGAGCAGAAATTTGAATTTGAGTCACCCAGGTGTGCAGGGCCTACAGTGTTAAGTGGCAGCTGAGCAGGAGTTTGGTGAATGTCAGTCATGCCTACAGGGACTGAGGCGCCTAACTCTTAAGAGCTCTTGCCTTCTCCACATAGCCTCATCGCTCTTATCCACAGTGCCTGCCTTTCATCAGATTAAGATGGGCTGTAGAAACAGACATCATTTAATTTTGAAATTTTATGTTCAAAAGCAGAGTTTGAGTTTTATTAGTAAAAACTATAGGCTGAAATTTTCAGACTGACTAGTGATTTGGGCTGCTTCAGTTTTTAGATGGCCAGCTTCAAATATTGTAAAGGAGTCTGACTTTCAGATGGTCGGTGCTCAGCACTGCTAAAATCCAGGCCCCTTTCATGGTAGCTCAAGATGAGTACCCAAAAGCACTTTGGAAAATTTTGGCCTTTTTTTTATTAACATGTAATGGGGAAAACAGGGTCTCTAAAGTTGACATAGTTTAATGGATAAAGTCCTTTAGATTCTTAATTCCAGGGTTGATGAGAGAAATTGTTTTGTATTCTCTGAACAATATATCACCCATTGTCCAAAAAAACCCACCACCCCAAAAACGTGAGGATGGGGTATATGGAGAAGGGGTTTTTTTTTTGTTTATATTAAAAAGCTACCAGTAAACCCTATAAAAGCACTATTCCATGAGCTGTGCTGATATAATTCAATGCTGCTGGATCACAAAGGCACTTTGATATGATAGTGTGCTTTGCAATATCAAATTTCAGAGTAGCAGAAGTTGTTAACAACAATCATGTCAATTTTAGCTCTTTTCAGAACACTAATTGCCATGGCAGGTTGGGGGATTGAAAAAGAACAGCTGGTTAGGAAAATACAGTACCTTGTAAGAGGAATTGCGAACAAGGAAGAATTTTAAAAGTTCGCTGTCCCTCACCTTTTAAATGTATTTTCTTTCAAAGTTTGCTGGACAGGAGAATGGAGAAGGAGACCTCAGTTCAGCTGGAAAACAAAATAGCAGAAATCCAGCTCATGAAAATCTTTTCAGTCTCTTGGCCCTGGGTAAATTTGCATCTTTACTAGCATAACAAGTCTGCCCATTGAATCACAAAATTTTAAATATTTGCCTTGATCTAAGATAATTGATTGTTAGTTAATCACTTGAAAAATGAGATCATCGGTATGTTAAGAGTATCCATTAAGAGTTAGTGTTCAGTTATAATGCTTTAATTTCACCTTGGCAACGGTACCGGGAATGTGCTGTCATTATTTAAATAACATTCTTACCATTGGTTCAGGGTAGCATACAGTACATCTCAGAAATATTCTTTTAATTTATATTATCCACTTTCTCTCCTTCTTCAGGGAGATACACTTCTGAAAGTGATGTATGGAGCTTTGGGATTCTTCTTTGGGAGACCTTCAGTCTAGGTGTATGTCCATACCCTGGAATGACCAACCAACAAGCACGGGAACAAGTGGAGAAAGGTTAATTGTTGTTATTTATAGGGTACAGCCATGTGCAAGATATACTTCATAGATCTGTAGGAAGAAAAGGTCCATGCGCTTAACAAAATAGATAGTGTGCAAATGGGAAGTGACAGTATGATAAAGCAACTTTAGCAAATGTCATGTTAGTTCCACAAGTTTGTTGTCTGATCTTCTTTAAATCACTTGCTAAGAGCTCCCTGTGAAGACGATTAGGGTTTATAGGCCTCCTGGAAGAAGAGTGGGATCTTGAAGGATGAGAGAATAGAGGCATAATGGATTGAATCTGCGAAAGGTTGAGGTACCGTGTCGGGCTTTATGGAAGAAGGCATGAAGGTTAGAGTGGGAGGTGAACATAAAGGGGGTGGTTAGTTGCTTGGTTTGGGCAGCACAAAGGTTAAACCAGAAGATGCTCTTGTTAAGTAAATTGCTCCTACTCTCCGTGCTAACATCCCAAGCTGCTGGAAATACCGAAAACACTATTTGTCTGCAGTTTTTTTTGTTAAAGCTTTTGCCTTTGGAGCAAAGTTTAAGAACAAAAATAGTAAACAGCTCCATTTGAATTGGTTTAACTAGCGAACCCCAGCTTTTCTTTCACAAAGTATTCAAAAGTAGATAATGCTGATTAAGATATTTGGTATCTGAGTGCATTCCTTGTTCATCTTCCATAGTGATGTCTCCATCACACTGTCCTTCCCCCAATCTGTGCCCACAACCTATATAGACAGCCATAGGAGTCATATACATAACATGGATTTTATGTTGTTTTAAATTTGTAAAATGTATTATTTTATCTAGTGTGTGTTAACAAGGCCAGAACCAGGGTTGCTCTTTTATGTCTAGTGCATGAGCAGTTGTTGACTTGCTTTGCTGACTGCACGCCAAGAAGCCAGAGACTTCATTTATTTGGTCACAATATGGAAGCAGGGAGGAAACAAAAGAAATTTGCCAAGTGGAAGAGCAGAAAAGCGGGCAGACAACAGAATTGAGGAGGAGACATGGACAAGGGATTAGAGTAAGGAGGGACAAAAGAGACAGTGAAAAGGGGGCTTATTTCTTTAATATAAAAAGGAGAGGCAAGGGAAATCAAAATGGAAAAAGTGGGAGATGGAAGGAATAAAGAAACAGGGGGAAAAGGGGCAGCAGAGAAATTCACACACAACCTTAAGGTAAGTGTGTTTTAATTTGTTAGTATTCCTGGTTTTTTGTTTGTTTTTTTTTGGATTTTCATGACATAAAGATTGGACTTGACAGGAAGAAGAGGGGCCAGTCATTTTCCTAGGATGGGGAGAGTGAATTTTTAGGCAGATTGCAGCCCTAAGAGGCAGGAGGAGCATACTGACAATTTACCTTTCCCAATCTGAGCAGTGTTTAGTTTGCTAGTCAAGCACCTTAGCATAATGTGAAAATCATCTAATTTATACCTAGGAGATGCATAAATCTGACCTTTTAAAGTTTTGTATGTAGTAACCTCAGGGAACTTTGCTCATTCATTTTTAATTATAAGTCCTTATTTTTTATTTTTTAAACATTTGTTCAATTTATTTTACTTTTGTATACTAAACTTTTTCCCTTTTTATCTTTGCATGTCAGGATATCGAATGTCAGCACCTCAAAAGTGCCCAGAGGAAATATATAAAATAATGCAGAGGTGCTGGGACTACAAACCAGAAAACCGACCAAAATTCAGCGAGATTCAGAAAGAACTATCTTCAGTCAAAAAGAAAGTGACATAGTGATAAAGTAGTGCCAAACTCAACCTACAGGACTCTGTTTTTCAACAAAGTAATATTTTTCCCTCAAACACTGTGCGTTTATACCACATTATCTGCAATATTCTTCTAGGGTTACTTTTTTAAAATTAACTCTTTTTTATATATGTGCGTCCACACGCACACCATCTTGGAAAATGTCTAAGCATACATTAAAAAGAAACGATTCTGCCAAATGTTATATATCTAGTCATTTAGGATACATGTAAATAGAACATCACACACTACAGATTTAAGGGACTGTGACTCCTATCTATTTTACAGTGATAAACTGCTCGTGACATTTCCCAAAGGTTTTCTACTTTATGCTGCATTCTTAATTTGCTATCCCAGATGCAGATATCAACACCAGTGGCACTAAAAATGGTGGCTATGCCATGTTTCTGAAGACCTTAAATCTGAGGACCACAATTTTTGAATAGTATTTCAATTAGGAACTTTATATTTTTTTTAAATCATTTCTGCAACTGATATTTTAAATGATATATTGCTTTAAGAAAGAACATCAGTTAAGATTCTGGATGTCCATGTATTCTTTTTAAACAAAGAAATCCATAATTTTTTTGTAGAATAATATTCACATCATTTACAAACACGTCCTTAGATTTCTTACAGTTGCTTCCATCATAGTAAATATGTTCAACTTTGGACATTACTTGCTGCTTTTTTCCTGTGAAAAATTTAGTAGTTTATCAGGAATCTTTATGCACAAATCTCCTTTGATGGGCTAGGTTTTTTCTAAAAGGCCAACATCCAGTCTTGTGTGATACCTGTCTGTCGGGAAATACTCCAAATCATCTGCCTTTCAAAGTACAAGCAGAAGAAGAAAACTGTTGGTTTTGAATGTACACTTGTAGAAAAGCAGCCAGGAGGAAGCACGTTTGAGAACGAGAGTAGCAAGTAATGAAGGTAACTGGTAGCACTGATTTTAGATGAGTAAAAGAAAGTGAACTGCCAAATTGGCTTTTGGAGGTTCTCTGATACCTTTCTGAATATTTTTTTTTCACATTTCAAATAATTGATATGCCTTTTCTGCATGCAGTTGGAGTCACCAAAAGGACATGTTTAAAACCACGTTCCATGCGTATTGTCCAAAGAAAATGGTTACATCTCCATTGCAGAAAGAAATGCTACCTGTTTCAAACCTCTGAAAGGCTGAACAAGGCATAGAGTAGAAATATTAATCTACAGAACTGTCTTTAAGTTGCATCTAGATTTGTTCTCAGTTTCAAAAGTAGGTTTGCATACTCACACTGTCAAGGAGGAAAAGATTGGTATAAAAATAGTATTCTTATAAGAAGAATAAAAGCTAATCAGTCCAGGGGTGGGGATGCAAATAGTTTGTGGCTTGGACCTATCGCTACAAAAGGCCTTGATAAGAATTCCTGACTACCATAGAGACCTGTGACTTTAGAAACAAAGTTATGATCTGGGAGACCTATGGTTTTGATTTAGGCCTATTTCTAATCATTATCAAGGTGTGTTAACAAGGAATTAACTGCCAGAGGAATGAAAGAGAAACTTTCATTTGTGGCTGCATTATATTTTATTTCTATTGTGGTGACTTTTCTATTGTCCAGAATGCAATTTCTGCTTTTTAAAATATATTTATGGTAGTATTGAAAGGGATATGTGTGACTAAAGTATTTGTAGGCTATGAGTGTTTCGACCAGTATCTATTACATTAAATTTAGCGTCCAAACGAACAGTGAAGCGGCATGCTAGAGAACACTTTTTTCATTGTAGGTGGACTTGTTAGCAATCTGGGTTTGTTCTGGGGCAAAGGAAACAAACACACTGGGAAAATGGAGTAGAAACTGAAAATAAAAGGACAAATTAGTGTCATCCCTTTATCATTATTATTTCTTTATGTAAATACTGCGTACATTTAATTATCACTATGCTCACACTTGGTCCAAAGATACTTGTCTCAAAACCAGTAAGAAACGTTGTTTAGTCAGTTAACATTGATACTAAATGTTACACAAACAGCGTGCCTTAATGAGCTGGCGTGCTTGTGTGAATAAAAGTGCATGAAAATGCCAGAAATATGCAACGATAACTCTGGGAAGAATCCATGTCCCAAATCAATAAATCACCCAACTACAGGTCCTCATCTATGCACTCGCTAATGTTTAAAAGTAAGGACAAGAATGTATTCACTTTTATTTAGATTAACACACTTTTTTTTAAGTGAATGAAAGAGACTATACTATTCCAAAGGATGCATATATCCAACCTTTCAACAAGAAAATAGAACAGTTCTTTTTGTCTTAATTTGATAAGCAGGACACACAATTCTGATTCTTATGTACAGAGGTAAAAGGACATCAACTGTATTCATTTTTCACTTATCTGAGCAGTTAACATTTTGCAATTCATATCATACTTCTGTTTAAACTGAAAAGGCTTTTCAAAGCATGGAATACCTGCAGCACATAGAGTATGTTGTATTCTTTGTCCTAAAGCAGATAGAAATTCAATTCATGATTAATAACCCTTTGGGAGACTGTCAGGATGAGTTCATTGGTATAGAATACATTTAATATAGGCATATGTGTTTTCACAAAAACTTATGCCACAAACACAACTGAACTAATGCGAGACAAGACAACACTTTGCATAATTTATTTGTCCCATCTGTCACATGTAATTATTGGAATTATGTACTTTAGGAAGTTAAGTCAATATCAGATACATGTGTATAAATACTTTTCTTAACTTTGCAAGCTTATGGCAGGGGAGACTACAAAAATGTACAAAGAAAAAGCCTGTAATTTAATGAATGGAAAAGCAGGTATAGCATTCAAGAACCAAAGCTGTAGCGCTCTGCCTTCTCTGTAGTCTTGATGTCTTTTAAATGAACAGAGGGTTAAAATCTTAGCATTGTTAATGAATTAAGCAGATATTGGCTATTTAATGTTTTTCTACAGTGTTTTGTACATTTTGTTTAAGATACAGCAAAATGAAGTGTCCTCTTTTGGAAATTCAGTATATTTAATAGGCTTTGACATCTACTCTTTCCCATTTTATGGGGTTCTAATAGGTTTTGGAAATGTTCAGATGATTATATATCCAGGAAATACTCCTGTCTTAAAATTCATGTAACAATAGTACCCTAAAAATCAAAACCTCTAAGTATATTATAGGAGATGGAGAGTGATTTCTCTAGTTGTTACCAATTATTTTCCTCCTTTTCAAGGCATTATAAGGAAATTAAAAGTGCTACTGTCATTTATAATTTTGAGATTATTTTAAAGCCCAATGAAAGCCAATAATGAGTGTACAGTTTCAGTTGTAAACAACTGAAACTGAGCATTTAAAACTAACCTCAGTGTTTAGTTTTGAAATCATCATCCTGGTTAAGATTCCCAAATGTATGGAGTTCATGGCTTTATAGAAAGTGCAATATTGAGAAACAACATGTTTGAAAACAAGACAGAGACCTGTGTCCTCAGCAGCTGTGTAATCTTTTTCTTCGGTCTGCATTTCACAAAATTGTTTTAGATTTTTAATCTCAAATGAAAAAGTAAACAACAGCTTTTAGCAACTGCAATCATTTTGCATTTTTGTTTCAGATCTTGATGTGCATTTTGTAACTGTCACAAAATCTGTGACTATTTTGTAGTGTTGCTTTTGATGGCTTACCACCACTTTATATGCTGTCTGTGTCAGGAAGTACAGTGCCATTTACAAAATAAACCTCAGACTTTCTTGGGCAGAAAGCAATTTAAGGAAACATGAGGTTACTGTACCTCACTGTTTTTCCCTTGGTTTTTCACCCACCCATGTTTGTTTATGCTGAACTTTGACTTATTCAAATGCTGCAGATACACATCAGTGGAAAGTCATACACATTATTTATGGCATTTTTACTACGACTGTAAATCAAAAATATGAGCAAGCAGGTGTTTTCCCCCCCCCCCTCAAAGTTAGAGCCTTAGCCACAACATTTCTAGCTGGATCTAAAGCTTGGAGTTGTTCAGATCTGAAGTTTAGGCCGGTCTCTGCTTTCTCTTTCTCCTCATTCATAAGATGCTTTACCCTTGTCTATACTGGCCTTTTTTTCTGAGCGGTTTCCTACCAATGCAGTTCCACCAGTGGTAGCACAAATGTAGGCTGGCTGCCAGCATTCTTACCATCGTAACTTCTGGCCTAGCGCTGGACAACACCGGGGTCTACGCTAGCAGTACCTCGGAAATATTTCAGGAGAAAGGCATGTGTAAACAAGAGATCATGTAAATGATCTCTGTGGTTTTAAGAGATCTTAATCTGACATTATAGCTGGTGCTTGTTAGAATGGCTGGATGTCACAGACAGTAATGGCATACAATGTAAAGGAGCAAGAAGAGAGAGAGATGGATTAAAGAGGAAGGATCCTCTTTCCATAAGAATAATCTTATTCATTAGCACTGGAAAAGGCATTTGTTTGTTAGTGTCATTACCTGTTTAGGTAAGCATGAAAGTTTGCTATTGAAATAAAGAGGTCACCTTTTCCAGTTACTTACTTTCCTAAAGTACTTGAGTTGTTTTATTAGACTTGGTTAACACCATTTTATGATTATCAGTATACACTGTAGTAGGGTACAGAGAACTCAGGCTCTAGTGGCAATCCTTGGAAACATTCTGACTGACTGACTGAGCCAGGATTGCTCTGGGGGTGTACAGGGCACAGATTGTGTCCACCCCACCCCGACTGGCAGGGCACCTTCCCTCTTCAGATTCAGACAGTCCTGACACACACTACTGCAGGAGGGGAAGACACTTACATGCTTGCCTGGTTAAGGTCCTTGTACTAAATTCAAGGTCCTTGGAAACAGAATAACCCTGTAGAAAGAAAGTACAAGAAGGGTTTCAAGAATAAATGTCCCAAACATAGTTTCCATTAAAGGAAAGGATGTTCTCGCAGAATGCTTATATCTTAAGATCTCTTTTTCTATTGTCCTCATATAAACCTTAACCCAAGTGAGGCTGGGATGGACAGTGTTGTCTTTCAGACCCAGTCACTTCTTTGTGTCAGGGCAGGAAGATTAGAGATTTGTCTCCTATAGAAAGACATTACTGACTGGCTGCTGGTTGCCTAATAAGGATACGATAACATCATTTCTCAATGTTTTGCTTCACTTAAACTATAGGGATGAAAAATACAGGTTAAAACATGTTTGCTGATAAGAAAATTGCCCAGGTTTCCCAAGGAGAGGACAAATAATCATTTAATTAAGGACTATTTACAACTCAGAGGACACATCATAAGGCTTTTGAGCCAGAAATTAGAATATCCCAGCATAATGTCTATTTCTGACACTCGAGGCACTGAAACAACTAAAAAGGAAAGCCGATTAAAATCGCAAGTTCCTCTTCCTGTAAAGTTTGCTGAAATCCTTTCTTCTACCACTCACTTGCCAATATCTTTCCTTTCTGAAGCTGATGGGGTGTAGTGATTGCAAGCTGAACTTTCACTGTAGCAATTTAGTGCAGTCCTAAAGCAAACAATTTGTCAGCTTTGATGAGAAAGCAGGACAGTACTTCAGGTAAAACCATACCGCATGCTCAGACATGAAAACCAAAAGCAGATTTAAATGCCAGCTTCAATTCATTGTGTTTATCACCCAAGCACCATGTGGAGCATTTCATGATTAGCCTTACAATGTGTTAAAAAGTGACTTGTTGCCGAACACCTTATTTATCCTTCACATAGTACAGCATTTTCTAGAAAATAAAGGTGCTGATTTTTGTCTTCAGATTTTGTCAGTGTTACTTTCATGACGTGTGGTCTGTCCCTTCCCCGATCTGAACTCATTTCCCTTTGGGGCTGTCGGTTCCTGTTTTTTGAAAACCTAAAATATAACCTGACTGGGCTGAGGCCCAGCATCGTACTTTCCTCTCTCACATTCTTATCTTCTGATTTAGAAAGTCAGCAAAACTGCAGAGGAGTACAGCTCCCTAGGCTCAGGTAAAGTAGTAGTATTCTCCCTCCCTCAGGCAGGTGGTATGTCTGGGCAGGGTATCTTACGGACAGTTAAGTATGACAATAGCTCTGCTGTATGCAACCAGCAACATTTCCTTTAGAAAGAAAAAGATGGAGGGGAGAATAGGAAAAAAAAATGGACAGAGGGTAAGAGGAATTGCACAAAAAAAGTAGAATAGGTACTAACAACGACTGAAGTGCTGCTGTTGTGTGGGAAAGAGGCTGAGAGCAGGTCTTCAGTGAAGACACTATTACGCCAATAGGAGAGCTTCTCCTCTCAGCATAGTTAATCCAGGTGGTACCTATGTCAATGGGAGAATTCCTCCTTTCAACATAGCGCTCTCTGCACCGGGGGTTAGGTCAGCATAACTGCATTGCTCACAGGTGTGGATTTTTCACACCCCTGAGCAACATAGTTATACCTCTGTTCACGTAATGGAGGCCTGGCCTGAGAATGGTAAGAAAACAACAAAAAAGAAGTGGGCATAATATTTTCCAGTACATGTTATCTGAAAATCTCTCTTCACTTATGGTAGCAAAATGTTCAGCAAGCGTTTAGGGGGCGTGGAAGGGAAGCTGAGTTTTCAGATCATCAGTGTGCTTTTCCAGAAAGAACAATTCTCTTCAAATTCTACTCGTTTCTGCTCCCCTTAATCTCTCTCAGCAATCACTGGATCCCGAGCTAGATCCCATTGAACTACTTTGCTAAACTTCATCAATTATTAATTATTACGTAAGATGTGTTTCTCCTTTGATGTGACAAATGTGATTCCTGACTAGTAGATGATTGAGACTATAGGATACAATCCTTAGGTAATATAGCATTGCAGTTGGGGAGGAAGGGGAAGTTAGAGATTTCACCTTTGATTTAGGTCTTACTCAAGGTAGCATACTTTTTAAATCCTCCGTGTGGGTTCGACCCCAGAAAAGCAAATTTGTTGGTTTGACCTTGAACAAGGGAAATAATTGCTTAAAAAGAAAAACATGATTTCCCCAGTAATCTGAAAACCTACATTTAAAATGGTTATTAAGAAGAGAAAATTGCATGTATACGTAAAGAAAGCAATTCTCTTACTAACTTTCTGAAATCCCTCCTTCCATGGAACTCCTACTGAAGTATAGTGTAGTTCTGTGCAGAGAGAGTTCAGGATTGGGGCCTCAGTTTTAATTTCTTATTACTGGCCATGTTTGAAGACTTCTTCTTTCACATGCATTATCACTTCACTAAGGCAGAACCTTTTGAACTTTCTAACAGGAGAGCACTTACCTTAAAGGTTTTAAAAGAGTTCCTAAGGACTAATTCACAATGGCTAGAGCCAGGCATAAAGGGCATGCAGCTGCTTTGATGCTTCCCCGCGTCACGATCAGTGTACTTCACTCTTGACTTGCAGATCTCTTGCTATCACTGTACTTTCTCTCCTGATCAGAGACTACCGGTCACATTCAATTATGCAGTGGTTTAATAATATGGACAAAAAATTCGACTAGGCTGAAACCACAAACCCAAAAAGTGAAAAAACTGCACTAGATCATCTTTATTCTTATGTTCATTTGTTTTTCAAAAAATGAATGCCACAGTGTATCTTTAGGAGCAATCACCTTACAAACAAATGTTTATGTTTTAGATCACAAACCTTAGGGGACAGTTTTACATGCAACTGTGAACTCAAGAGACTGCCACTCATTCTGAAAATGCCTGCAGGCTAGCCTGGAGGACAATGAAGTCGCATGACTTCACAAAGCATGAACAGCCACTAGAAAATGGTACCTAGAAGAATAATCCTAAATTACCACCATAGCTGTGTTTACAGTCCTGCTATAATTTTAGAACTGGTTTTAAACATGCAGAGCATTCCACTTCATCAAACTTGGACTCTGTGTAGTAAGAGTAGACATAAAAGCACACACAAGCACCAAAAACCATCAACAATCCAAGCTAAGGAGATTTGTGAAAAGAAAAACAGCATGTCAAACAAGAGAGAGAAAGGTCAGTCCTGGAGTATTAGTTTACAGAGGGAGCATTCTCCATGTCACAACTAAAATTTAACTTATTGGACAGCCAGTATGGACGTAGCCGATCAGTCTTGCTAAAATGTACCAAGAAATAAAGAAGAAAACAAAATCATTCTGCTGAATACCGGTAAAAAGATGTATTCAATTAAATAAAGCAGAAGAAGAACAAAACTAGAGATTACCATCGACAAAAAAATGAATGTAACCACAATTATGGGATACGCAGAGTAAAATACACCTCTAATTATTGTGTTTGGATTTTCAGAAAGATCAGTCTCTGCGGGACAAATTCTGCTCTCATGCTAGGAGCAGTCAATTCAATTGACTTTAACAGAGTTGCACTGCTATCTATGAAGCCAGCTAAATTTCACTCCAAGACTTTTTTTTCTTTGAGAGAGAGAGAGAGAGAGAGAGAGAGGACAGTATGGCCCTTAGTATTTTCTTCTTCAGGTCTTCTCGGACATCTGAATGAGATGCCTCCATATCCCTCACATACTTCCATTTCACATTATGCTGTGAGTTGCTCTTCAGAGACAAAGTTCCAGCTTCATCTCTGGTTTCATTTGGCCCAACATCAACTATTTCCGGAGTCTCAAAAATACTACTGTAGGTATGACAGCCCAAAGTAACTGTAAGGTAAAGGTGACTGCCTAGTCCACATTCGAATTACTGTTTCATCCAACTAAAGACTTCTTCAAGAAAGCTGACTTACATTCCTCATATTACAGTATGTGAAATTCTGCTGTTGACATTTTCTTTGCAACACACAGCATTCTATTCCTCATCTTTGAGGAACAATGTGTAATTAACACTGTCCACCCGCAGAGAGAATTACCCTATTTCAGTTGCAGTCAACAGACCAGTTCCAACTGAATAAAGAGAGTATTGTGATGCCACAGTTTCCACTGAACCTCAATAAGGAAACGTGTTCTCCTTTTAGCCCGTTTCAGAACTCCAAACATATTCTGCATTCTTAAATCATCATCATTCTTATTGTCATCCATTTTATTTTTAGAGGCCTGGTTTCCTTGCTTACACCGCGTAACCTTTAGCTCTGCAGATACTGTACTGCTCAAGGTCAGACTTGCAGACTAAAAACTCACGGCTTTTTAGTCCACTAAATATATAGTTTTTTGCAGGACATTTAATATGTGATTAAATGACTGATTTTTAGGTGACCAATTGAATAAAGCTTTATAGATTTTTCCTCAGCAGGTAGATCAAACACCAGTAGTGTCATAATCAATCACAGCTGAGTTGGTAAAAAAAAATTTACATATATCAGTGTGTCTTGCATGCAATTTCCCCCTAACAGGTACATGCCTTTTTTTTTTTAGTCACTAATGTTATTTATTTTAATGGTGCTCCACATAAGGGTTAAAATTGTGCCCCAGCTCCTCTCTGGAGTGCTAGGGAAGGGGTGTGCAGAACTGTAGCAGCCAAATAGAGGTGCTTATGCAGCCAGGATGCCTCAGAGCCCTGCTGCTGGGAGCACTCTCTATAGCATTAGTAAAATGTGCAGTGTGTGCTCCCCCCAGCACCCGCTGCCAATTGCTAACTGATGCACAAGTAGTAGAAACCTGGCCATGCCCCCTTATGCCTTACCCAGGCCAGCTTGCAGCTGTGGGTGGACAACCCCAGTGCCCAGGGAGTGCTGGTGACAGCCTTTTGTCTGGATGCTATACAGGTGCACAAGGGAGAAGGTGTAGATGAGGCTTCCTGCATATCCACTGTGCAAGAGATTGAACTAATCCCTCCATAGGAGTGCCAACCAGATGAAATGCATCCAATTAAAACTTCCATTGTTCTGTCAGCATAATAATTGTTAATGAACATATTTCCTACAGGGAGTTTCCCCATCTGATTATTAGATGTTAGCTCCCTAAAAGCTGAAGAAAACAGAAAAATCTAGTAAGAGAGGACTCAGGGTCTAGGCTTGGGCATTGTGTTACCACAAAGGACATGATCCAAAAAATAACAGTCCAAAGAGCTAATCTGACCTAATTATTCTAAAAACATCCTGCAAAAGGATTGAAAACCAAAACATACATTTTGTATCATTTAGTTGCCATCCCTGTAGCAATTGCACAGTCATGTGTAATCAAGGGGTTTCCAGAAAGGACACTTGAGCTGACAGTTGTAGGGGCCCTGTCTTTCCAATTATACGTGTGTTTATTTTTCTTTTGGATAACTGCATGGTGAAACTGGGGGGTAGAAAGAGTCAGACATACCATCGCAGACTTTTGACACCTGTAGCCTTGAGTAGCAAGGCACTGATGTAGTTTACAATTTTTAAATGTATTTAGATTTTTTTTTTCCATTTTGTGCCAATGAATGCACCAGCAAATTTAATATCCGGTAAAACACCTTTTATGCTCATTGTTGTTTAAAAATAATATATTTGTGAAACGGATTGATAACACGTAACACTGGAAATGGGTGCTTCTTCCCAAAAGTACATGTGTAAAAAAAAAAAAAAAAAAAAAAAAAAGCGGGGTGGGGGGCTTATGTAGGTTTATCTGGTTTTTAAGAATGTCTCAAAATGATAGCTGTGTAATACAGTTTAATTGTCTCTCCTTTATAAATTTAAACACAGATCTGCAATTTTAACTCTTATTTATTTGCCAATTTTTATATACATAGAAGTTACACTTTTGAACTTAAGCTAACATTTTTTCCTAGTCTGTTACAAAATAGGCGTTCAATGATCTTGTAAACTGCAGACAGTTTTGGTTTGTTTTAATAGCTTCTTGTCTCTTCTGATGGACCAATTACCACTGAGTCTGCAGTCCCCCTTTTTACTGTATTCTTCCAATAAATGTAAAATATTTGTATCAGGTTGTGTTTTGACTTCATTTAAATATCAATGTTTATATGTCTTCCCTTCCTGTTATAAATAAATATATTGTACACTGAAAACAAAGGGCTATCTCCATAGTAACCTCTGTCCTAGAGATGATACAAATACAATGCATAATATATATCCACTTTGTGGTAATTAAGTTTATATGAGTTCTGAGTGCAGTCTCTGGGACTGCTGCTTATAGAGCCAATCCCTGCTGCCTTGCCTTAGACCTTACCTGCCAGAGTTCAGGTGTCGTATTTTAGCATGTGGCAGCCATTTGCCAATATTTATTATTATGAGTTCCTCATTCATTATAATACTGCCAAAAATGAGCACAAGGATAAAAACCATGGCAGAAATCAAAATGACTTTGAAACTAGAACAATTAACTCTGGTAACTTGAGCATGTTTTCTTTTTTCAATTGATAGTAGGGAACAGCCTCACCTTTTGTCTGTCTGTTTACCCTCCATTCTGCAAATCAATAATCTTTCTAAAAAAGGTTTTCTGTCATTTGCACAGAGTATTTGGCACAGACGCCTCTGTGATGGCATCTGTGATGTGATTTAATCTGGTTACTTTTACCTTACACCAGTTTAACTCTACCAATGGCATCATGTTTCACAAGAGTGTGCAGCATAGAGAGTGTTTACATGAGCTTTACTGTTTGTCACAAATATTTTATATGAAATATCTATTGCTTTTTATCCCAAAATAAATTTGTGTGTATCATCTCTGGACCAGAGGACAACAAGCCACCACTCACTGCACCAGTGTGGGTAGCACCCGTCGTAGTCACAGACACCAAAGCAGTCCTCTATTTTCAGAAGAAATATGGTCTCTTTAATGCCCACTCAAAGCAGAGAGTTTCTCTTTTTAAAGGATTTGTCAAAAAGATTGACATGCACGTGCATGCACACACACAATAAAATGCATGGAACTCAATATATTTACCTTGAAAGAATGAAGGCTCAAATCCTCCCCACCTGCATTTGAAGCTATACTTCCAAAAAGTCTCCAGTTAAGGTGAAGGCTCATCTGATTGCGCTCAGCAAAAATAATCCTGAAGGCAAACAGACATCTCTGAACTGTATTCAGTTTTAGGACATTTCCAGTGACCTACTATATTATTTGCCTTATTTTTTAATTACTTATTTGGAGATGCTTACAAACACCTTAAGACTTCACCTTTATCACACACCGCTAGCACGTGTGTGCTAATTTACAATAATTTACTCTTTTAAATTAATTCATGGTTCAAATCTATGAGCAATAAGGTGTTTATTACTTTATGAAATTCTCTCCATTACATATTCCTGTCAGTAGATTTGCAAACCTCCTTAAATACCTGTTACAGTTGAAGCTTTATTTGCTTTCTTATGTCATATACCTTATTCACTATCTATGAAGCCCACTGTCAGTTTAGCTAATTATGTAAAATCCCAAGGGATTTTTCCAGAACAAAAATTGGTAAGATTGAGACTGAAAATATTAGGGCCGGGCGAACTAGTTAGTTAAAATAAGAGCTGAATAGTAACCAAACACAAACTAAGGTGTTGTAAAAGCTTGGATAGGTTTATTTAAGGCCTCCCAGCCACTGGCCTTCAGTAGGTCCTCTTTGAAGGCAGGCATGAGACATTCTTCTACTCCCTCAGGTAGTGGATTTCCTCTTCAGAGGTGGCTTCGTAACCTACTTCCCCATCTCTAGTCTTGAGATGGCTGACCAGCCCACCTTTCCTCCCCCATTCATTGTAGCATGACTTAGTCATCCCTCCACTGAGCCCACTGATTTCATTTGCTTTAAAAGGCACACCGATCTTCTTACAATACGAGATCTTGCTCTTTATATAGTGTCTTCCTGCTGAAGGTGGAGAGGTTATTTACCTGTACGGTAAGTGGAGTTCTTTGAGATGTTTTCTCCCTATGGGCCTTCCATCATAGGGTGTGCGTGTGCCTTGCACTTTTGATCAGAGAGTTTAAGTCAGCAGTGCCCGCAGGTACATGCTTGCGCATTACAGATCCTCATGCTCCAGTGCAAGGGTATATAGGAGGGGCAGATCTGCAGCCACTCCAGTTCCTTTTTACTGCAAAGCCCTGTTCCTGTATGGGTAAGTGATTTCACCTTCTACTTTGAGGTATTGTCCCTATGGGTGCTCCACTGTTGGAAACTTCCAAACAGTATCTCAAGATGGAGGCGGATCTGACATCAGGAATTATAACATTCAAAAGCCAGTAGCAGAACACTTCAACCTCCATGGTCACTCAACAAACAGACCTAAAAGCGGCAATTCTTCAACAACAAAAAACTTCAAAAACAGACTCCAACGTGAAACTGCAGATCTGGAATTAATTTGCAAAGTGGACACCATCAAATTAGGCCTGAATAAAGACGGGGAGTGGTTGGGTCATTACAAAACCTAAACCTAATTTTCCCCATACTAAGTTCCCCCTACGGTTACTCACACCTTCTTGTCAATTGTTTGAAATGGGCCACTCTCATTACCATTACAAAAGTGATTTTTCCTCCCTTGGTATCCTACTGTTAATTGAATTGTCTCATTAGACTGACCTCCCACTTGGTAAGGCAACTCCCATCCTTTCATGTGCTGTGTATTTATATCTGCTACTGTATTTTCCACTCCATGCATCTGATGAAGTGGGTTCTAGACCATGAAAGCTTATGCCCAAATAAATTTTTTAGTCTCTAAGGTGCCACAAGGACTCCTTGTTGTTTTTGCTGATTCAGACTAACATGGCTACTACTGAGTTCTGAAGACTGTGTCAGCAAAGGCCATATCTGCCCTGAAAGCATGTAGAAAGCAATAGTTCCTCGAGAACATGTGAATGGAGGATCAGGTTGCTGCCCTGCAGATGTCCAAGATGGGTATGTCTCTAAGAAGAGCTATTGAGGAGTATTGGGCCCCAGTGAAATGGCCAGTCAATCACTCTAGGACAGTGTTTCTCAACCTTTTTGATACCAGGGATCGGCTAGCTACCTTCCTAAACTGTCAGGGAGATCTCAGGGGCCAGTGCCAGTCCATGGATCGGTCATTGAGAAACACTATTCTAAAAGACCAAGTTATTGAGTTTTCATTTATGGTTCAATTGAAAATGCCTGCTCAGAGTATCTGCTACGTTATTCTGCAGGCCCAGAAAAGTAGACCACTGAGATTTCTATGCAGTAGGATATTCACAGTCTTAGTGATTCTGTGTATAAATATTGGGACCTTGCTACACCTTGATAGTTGATACAGTACACTGTTGCTCTGTTGTCCAGTGTATTGTCTGGGCAGCCCTTGATGTTTCAAAGGAAATATTTGCCCATGTAGTGATCTGCCCTGAGTAAGAGAATGTTGATGAGTTAGAGAAGCATCTCAAGGAGGAACAGTGGTGGTAACCCTTGAGGTGGGGTGGACATGACAACAGAACTTCCACACAGACTTTGAGAAGATCCTTCTACATATTAATGGAGTTGAGAACACTGGGAGCAATGGTCACTCATTTGGAAAAAGACGGTTGAGGATGTAAATAGCCCTGAGACAGGTCCAAAGGCATCAAAGGTGTAGTCTTCGGTGAGGCATTACACACATGCATGCCAGCATGTCGCCTAAGAGCTGCAGGAAAGCCCTTGCTGTGGATTATGGGCTCAGTTATAGTGTGGCGATGAGACTAGTATAACGGTGAAACTGTCTGCTGATAAGTAGGTAGGCTCTAGTAGTTGAGGAGTCCAGAGTGGCCCTATCATAGAATATAAGGGTTGGAAGGGACCCCAGAAGGTCATCTAGTCCAACCCCCTGCTCGAAGCAGGACCAAATCCCAGGTAAATCATCCCAGCCAGGGCTTTGTCGAGCCTGACCTTAAAAACCTCTAAGGAAGGAGACTCTACCACCTCCCTAGGTAACGCATTCCAGTGTTTCACCACCCTCTTAGTGAAAAAGTTTTTCCTAATATCCAATCTAAACCTCCCCCACTGCAACTTGAGACCATTACTCCTCGTTCTGTCATCTGCTACCATTGAGAACAGTCTAGAGCCATCCTCTTTGGAACCCCCTTTCAGGTAGTTGAAAGCAGCTATCAAATCCCCCCTCATCCTTCTCTTCTGCAGGCTAAACAATCCTAGCTCCCTCAGCCTCTCCTCATAAGTCATGTGTTCCAGACCCCTAATCATTTTTGTTGCCCTTCGCTGGACTCTCTCCAATTTATCCACATCCTTCTTGAAGTGTGGGGCCCAAAACTGGACACAGTACTCCAGATGAGGCCTCACCAATGTCGAATAGAGGGGAACGATCACGTCCCTCGATCTGCTCGCTATGCCCCTACTTATACATCCCAAAATGCCATTGGCCTTCTTGGCAACAAGGGCACACTGCTGACTCATATCCAGCTTCTCGTCCACTGTCACCCCTAGGTCCTTTTCCGCAGAACTGCTGCCTAGCCATTCGGCCCCTAGTCTGTAGCTGTGCATTGGGTTCTTCCGTCCTAAGTGCAGGACCCTGCACTTATCCTTATTGAACCTCTTCAGATTTCTTTTGGCCCAATCCTCCAATTTGTCTAGGTCCTTCTGTATCCTATCCCTGCCCTCCAGCGTATCTACCACTCCTCCCAGTTTAGTATCATCCGCAAATTTGCTGAGAGTGCAATCCACACCATCCTCCAGATCATTTATGAAGATATTGAACAAAACCGGCCCCAGGACCGACCCTTGGGGCACTCCACTTGATACCGGCTGCCAACTAGACATGGAACCATTGATAACTACCCGTTGAGCCCGACAATCTAGCCAGCTTTCTACCCACCTTATAGTGCATTCTTCCAGCCCATACTTCCTTAACTTGCTGACAAGAATACTGTGGGAGACCGTGTCAAAAAATGATGATGTCTGTGCACTTTACTGGTTTTAGGGCAGACTTCTCCACATTTAGACAAAGGTCCTGGGAGTGAAATACGATTAGGTCTTTGTTGGCTGCTCAGTGGACCTTGAAGAGGGAGTG